ATAAATAAGATCACAAGTCATTGAATTTCTTTCATCAATATGAATATGTTGAATAGATGAAGAAAGTGATGATGATTTGAAAATCAATGGAAATAATGTTGAACATTTATTATAAGATAAAGCTAATGTCAATAGATTATCATTTATAGAAAGAGTTGAACATACAAGAGAATTAAAACGAATATTTAATGACCATAAAGACGTTAACATATTAAACCAAGATAGATAAGAAAAAATATACAGAAGAATTTCATTAGGTAATGTTTCTATGTTAGTTCTACGAATCATGTTTTATCTAAAATGAAAATTATGTTATGCTTTTTTTTCTCATATTCGTTCATTAATCAAATGACTAATGTCATCAAATGAAAACAAAAACAAAATTATATTCATTTGTCAAAACTTCATCAACATTATTTCAGTTCAAACAGTTTTTACTTAAATTAAAAAAAAAATTTTAAATAGAAAATACATACGAACCTTAAGACTTGAAGTGAAACAAGATCGTTTTCTAGATAAATAAGTATATGTGTTCATTCATGTGAAGCTTCCACAGTTAGTATATAAAATCAATGGTCTCAATTTTATAACTTTATTAATTGAATTTTTCATCTAATTATTATACTAAAGAAGAAAGTTTTCGCTATAGAAACATATGAATGAACAAATATTTCTATTAAAGATGTAAAATTATTCACTTACATTATTTAGCTAACTTTTATCTTGTGTTGTTTGTTGAAGTTTAAAAATGCCATCGTTTTTTCTATCATACTTTCTATTCTGGATTTTATTTGTTCTTCCAGACTAAAGAGTCAGAAGATACGGGGATACATTATCTATACGTGTGATTCAATGAATGGAATATCAAATCATACAGAACATGGTCTGTTCGTAGACGACACAGCTCTTTAGACGTCTTCAAATACAACATCGAATATCACATCTAGACTACAACAATCTATAGATGAATTTCAAAGATGGTGTGTGCAGCTTGGAAGCTGAAATTACAACCCTAAATACGGAACCCTCAAAAGGTGTCGTAAAAACTTCGGGTGCCTGAAAATAATCATCATAGACTTAGAATACTTTTTCAAGTGTTTCGTAGTTCTATCTACGAAACCTAAAAGGGTCCAGAGAATTGAAACGAAATCGAAACCCTTTTAGATTCCGTATTATGTACGAAACCTTTTTTTAGTCCAAAACACCCTTTTGGATTCGGTATCGTGCCTTTTTTTTCAGTGTACGAGTAGCACTAGAGCTGCCATCATATACTTCTGTAGAATATACTCATAAAATTAGCAATATCCCCAAGATAAAACAATATAGATTGAAATTATTAGATCAAACTATTACAAAAGCTCATTCAAACAACGATAAAACATTGAAAACTCATGTTAAGATATACTACATGAATTATTAACCAAGTAACAAACCACTTAACCTCCAGAAGCATTCCTCCTATTTTTATTTCGAGACAAAAGACACATGTCAAGAATCTCTCCGTATTCCCAGCCTTTTCTCTTTGTTTATAACATCTCATTTTTGAAATAGAGGTTTTTGAAATAAAAAAAAAGATACGGGAAATGTTCATACTTTCCTGCTAGTACGATATGCCAGCGAATAAATCAGTGATATGATTTCGAAAACAAAAACACAAACAAATGCTATTCAGCTTAAGGTTACTATACAGCCAAAACGGCTAACGGTCAACCAGCATGATTGAAGTTGAGCACTCAAGTTCTCGAACACAAAACAGCCGATCTTACTTATTTAAAGTTTTTATGTACGTTTTCGTATATTCTGCGTCGATCTATCGAATTTCTTTTTAATAATTACGAGAAGAACTGGTAGCTACCAGCCAAATTCAGCATTTTTTGTCAAAAATAGCTTCAAAACGCTTTTTTGTCTCTTATCATATTTCAAAAATGGAAACATTATTAAACATAAAATACAGTAGTAGCAGCTTGACATACAAGTGAACATCGTTATTTTGATATTCTAAACCGATACTGTCAAATACGAGATAAAATTTGAGACCTCGGTTTTTGTTCTTGAAAATTTATGTCTGTGCGTTACTTCATGTTTTTTTAATAGATCGCTCATTTTTCAAGGTATCCATCTTTTGTCTTCACCAAAAGATAGCTCTGACTTTCAGCTACAAAACTCTCTCTCACAAAATTCATTAACATGGAGTCGTACGCAGAACTTGTCAGTTCTTTCACATCTACCGAAAACGGAGGGTCTTTTTTGTCTGTGTTACCGACTAAGTAGTATTTCACTCATAAAATCTAAACGGCTACACGGTTGAGACTCAAACTTTTAAGTATTATAGAATTTATTTACTTACATATTTGTTATCAATTACAAGTTTTTCCCACTTACCATTCTCTAGATAAATTCGTTCGCAGTTTTAAAAACGTCTGTGCGTTACCTGCGTTTTGGCTGTATATTTGAAAGTACATACTTGAAACGTTACAGTTCTAAACAAATATATTCTGAATGATTGTCGATGAATAAAAACCATCTGCACAGAACGAATATAGAAATATTCAAAAAAAAAATGATGAGCCAGTTCTCATAGGTTAACGACTGGATATCCACATAAGTTGTTCAATCCTGATGTTCGTTTGATGTTGCTCAATTTAGAATGTCTTGTGGAAAAATAGTTTTAAGAATTTTGACACATAGAACTAGAATAGTTTCATATCAAATGATAGAAAAATCTAGTCGAATAGATCAGATCCTACAGGTCGGAACTAAAACTGAACTGTTTGGGTCATATTGATGCAAATCGTTCGAAAAAAATTCTTCCGTTCTTAAGATATTTTAATTTTTCTGAGGGCACTACCGCCAAAAAACACAATTTTTTGTGACTTTCATATCAGACTAAAAATACATTCTTTTGGCTTGGAATTTTTACTCTGTATGCATCTCAAGTTGATGTATATATGATAAAAAATAAGTTGCAAATGACTAAATCGTTGTTAAGTTGATTAATACTATCAGGTCACCAGAAAATGATCACTTTAGAAGGAAGACATAATCTTCTTTCCTTTATATACATACTTTTTCTATTCAATCAAAAGAAAACGTCGAAAAACATAAGGAAATACATACGGAGCTTATTGTAGAGCATTTAACTGAGAGTATGTTATATGATGTAATGTTCGAATGTGTTGTCTCACTTGTTTTTGTTGATAGATGTCAAGAAAGAAAAAAAAATATTATTTGTCTCGTCATATAAGCTGGAAAAAATTCAATAGAAGATGTTTCTATTCAGTCGATTCAACGAAAATATTGAGCACTCGTCCGTCTAGTTCATGACGGAAAAAGTCACTGTACATTTTTTCCTGTGGACGGCAATATAGAAAGATATGTCAATTTTTCCGGTCAACGAATGGGAGTGTGGGTGTGGGTTATGAAAAGAGTCATATCCACAGCCATACACACATCCACACCTATACCCACACCCACACCCTTTAGCTGCTATTCACAAAGATTTATTAGAAGAATGATGTGTTTTTTAAAGCTTTTCGATCAAGCTATTGATCAATTAAGTGATGAAGATAAACCAACTATACATCAAGTTATTCCTATTCGACAGCTATTAATCAATTATTGTGAAGTTAAAGTTGATGATAGTGATGGACTTAAAGAAGTAAAATGCTTTGTTGGTAAGTAAACATTAAGAAATATTGACTAGATGATTAACTTCAACATGATTTATTTTGAACAAACCTTGATACAGCTTGCAGGTATTGTCATCAAAAAAAATTATTTTACAAGAAAGTTTAGTTTATATTTTTTCACCTTAGGAGTTGCCATTATAACAGATTTGGATTCAAATATTGATGTTCCTATTCTTTTAGGTGAACGTATAAAATAGATTTGAATTCCTCAAGATCAACATTATATGTCCACCTTACTTCATCCTTCGTTGAAACACTTTCATATAGCACCACATGAAAAAAATAAAGCAATTAAATTAGTCAAACAAAAGTTGCTAAAACGTACAACAGTACAAACAGCTGTTGCTGTTACTGATTCAAAAACAATAACTTCGGCTACATCAATCACATTTAATGCAGCAACATCTGTTCCTTCGAACGATTTATTAGGTCGTTGTTTCGATCAACCTCAACCTGTTGTTAAACTACCAAATAAATTAGATGACTATTTAATATTAGACATACAACTTCAAGAACAAGATAACGTGCTCTTATTCTGGAAAGAAAATGCTAAAAAATTTTCCAATATTATCATCAACTGTACGTGAACTATTTGCAATAGCTGCTTCCAATGCCCGCGTCGAACAGTTATTCTCCTCATCAAAAAATACCGTTACCGACAGACGAACTATAGCCCGTCCAAAAAGTCCGTGCGTTTGACTGTTTTTTGAATAACTCGAGAACGCAAACAGCTGGAGACCTGTAGCTTTCACCAATCGAAAGAGGAGGAGTTAGGGCGTCTTTTTCTCTGATAATGTATCAGACGAAATTCTTTTAAAACTGATCATTTTTGAAAAATATAGAAAAGAATGCATG